TTGATGTCAAACCAGTACGGTCGCTGGCCTGTAAGGATAGACATAGTGTGGCACGACATCCAGGTAAGAAGATACGCAAAAAAACAGTTACTCAAGCAAACGGATATGATTTTGGAAACGGTCAGACGTTTCAGGCAGCATCCAGTGACTACCTTTTGTCAGTGACACTAAGAGCTTGCAGGAGAATTGCAGGTTTATAAGCAAACTATTGATTGATATGCAAAAAAGTGAAGACAATTTTAAAAGTCCAAAAGGAAACAAAAAGTAATACAAGTGAAGACAAGGATGATGCAGCTCCTTTTGTATTTGCTCCATTTTCGGCATGTTGACCACTGTCAGAAGGCAAAAATCAATGCACGCACTGACGTCATCCATAAAAATTACTTGCTGTGGCCTTTAATATGAATATTGACACTAAAATGAATTTCATTTGAGGAAATATTACACGAGAGGATGATGGTAACAGATTATTTACCTTTTGTAAACAAACAAGTTTTTTGAATTCTGTTCTTTGCATCCAGCACCTTGAATATCCCATTCTGAATCCTGAAAAAGGAAAAGGTACATTGTTACTGTGTATCATATCAAAATCAATAAACTCTTCATAATCCATCATTTGTACAGAATCCATTCCAAGTCACTGCGTAGGTTTTTAAATCATATTTCTAATATTTTCTAATTAGTTTCAAATAATACGAAAATATATAAATATTCTGAAATTATTATAAAAAATGTAAGTACCTGTCGTGGGAGTAGCATGTTTTCGAAAATGTTGGAATAATTTGCAAAAATTTTGAAAGTGACTTTTAGAATGTTTCGAATGTTTTATGTCACTTCTTCCCTACCCCAAGAGCTATCTACCAACCAAAATTCGTGACCCTAGCATGTCCAGATCACAAGTTATCTAAAGCGGAAGTTCTGCTGCAGTACCAACAAAAGCCGCCAGGGGGCCCAAAATCTAATCATTTCTAGGTCTCATGAAGACCTACCCACATACCAAGTTTCATGATAATCCATATTAAGCTTCTTGAGTTATGCTGTTCACAGACAAACAACCAGACAATCACACAAACGGACAGATGGACAAACACTACTGAAAACATAACCTTCTTGGCGAAGGTAATAATGCATACTTGAGTACTGCCTTCTGTACATCTTGGAGAGCTACAAGTGGGTTGTCGAAGAAGTTGTCGAGGGTGTTCACGACCATGTTAACTGCCTCCACTATCTGGTCAACTGCCCACGGCAGGGTCACTGTAACAGCTTCGAAAATGGCCTGCAACAACAACGTTAACAGGGCTTGAAAATCATTTTTTGGAATATGTGCATCGGTGCACCCAACCTTAAAAGTTGGGTGCACAAAAAAAAAATTGGGGTGCACCATATGAAATAAAATAATTATAGAATGTTAGCAAAAAGTAACATGTTTTAATTATAACATGTTTTAATTATAAGCCAGAAAAAAACAGGAGAGTGCTTCATGCAATATAAAGCTTAAAACTTTGTGAAATATTGTAACTGTACAGTAATGTACACGTTATGCGTTGAATGATGACTTACGTCCACAAACTTGGTCACATCTCTTTTGACGTCTCCCATGAATCCCGTTATCCTGCGTACGACCCCCACGATAGCGACAAGCCACGGCTGTGGGTTGATCATTTCTCCCAGTACAACCGTAGCCTTTTGCCCGATGGCAATGATACCGTCAATCTTTTTGGGCAAACTTTCGAATACTTCCGTAAACTTTTTTATTAGTTTTGGAAACGCGAATTCCGAGTCACTTGAGAACAAGCCTTTGAAAAAGTTGACGGCTTTCTTTATGTTTCCTACGATCCTGTCGACGACTTGATCCAGTGTCTTGATGATTTTGAAGATGTCTTCAAAGTTGAACTCCTGTCAAGGGAAAAGACAAAAAGACGTGCGTACCATATTAGCATGCCATATGGAAATGTATGCACATGCAAACTGTATGCTTCATCAGAAATCTCATGTTGGGTATTTCCTCTTTTTAGGTACCCCATACATACAATGTCATGTACAAGAAAGGAAGGAACTAAATCAAAAGCATACATTTATAAAGGAACATAATTTTATTCATAAATAGTGGTTGAAATGTCTGAATTATTTACAGTTGTGTTGACCAAACAAATATTTATTTAATAAGTAAAGTTACATTTAAAGGGTGATTGACTGAATTTCTGCACAGTAATTCTGTGAAAGTTTGGGGACTAAAGGCATACTAGGTAAATTACTACCTCGAGAATGTTGACCTTACATGGGACAATTTCAGTATGGTAAGTATGATTTTATCATGATTATAGTACACTATCAGTCACCAGAAGCTCTAGATGACATCACGTACATGTACTATTAATTTTCTTAAAATGGAATGATGGGTAGACAGTATTAGGGAAGACATCAAAAGCTTGAAACTGCAGAAGGCCAACCCGCTAGACAGAGGCAGCTGGAGAGCAGCTATT